GTTTATGTTTCTAAAACTATCAAATAACCTATATAAATGTATATTGTCTAAGTAGTTTGGTAGCTGGCGAGGCCTAGTCTCCAATCTACCTTTACATATGTACTATGTGCAGCGGGCGGAAGACCTTGTTTCCGCTCCGCGTTGCTCACGAGTTGATAGTCACGGTCGGAAAGGCCGAGTTTCCGATCCATGTTCCCGTCGTCATTAATATGCAAACCCTGACGCTGGATTCCGTGATATGAGGCGGGCGGAAAGGCCTAGTTTCCGCTCCGCGTTATGGTCTGGCTGTTGGGCATTCCGTTCCGTGCTCTCCTACCTAATAGCCAGAGTTTTACAGTGATCAAATAGTTGTCTTTTAAAAACAGCAAAGTTAACACAGTCTTTTACATGTGGCGGTAACTCATTAAAACACTTTAAACCTTTATAAAATATAATTTAATTTTTTTTTTGTCTACCTCTATTTCGTATTTACATATCATAGTTTAAAGTACAAAACCGCGTATCGACAAAATGCAAAACCGCGTATGTAAAGTTGTACAAATTATTTTCTAGAGAGTACAAACGCTCATATTTCAAAATGGTTCTCTTTTTATAAAGCAATCGCATTTCCGGATAGTATATTTCAGGACGAATGGATAAGGATTGAGCCAGGAGCTGGTGTGAGCAACAGCAAATGTCAGTTACTCGGATTTGCAGAATGACGATACGCAGTTTTGTACTTTAATCCACGATATGCATTATTTCGGGTTTGAAACGAAAGTGTGCATATGCATAGTATGGGCAGTTTCCGTATGCACAATTTCAGGGTGCCACTTATTGCATATAAGAAATTCATAAATTTCACGGAAAACCTTTATTATATGCATTCTTTCTTTAATGAGGACCACTCTAAATGGAATAATCCTTTATGAGCAAGGACGTCGCACTATGGGACTACAGCGAGGAGGTTCTGTAACCAATTAGCGACAAGTTTCGGATCGATATCGCACTTGTTGACGTAAAAATATTTCAAATCATACGTCAACAAAACCGATACCGATTCGAAAATTGTCGCTAACTGGTTACAGAATCTGCCTACAAAAATGATATCGTCCGATTCATTCTTTGTATTACGGCCTCGAACCGACATATATATATCTTTAATTTGAATCAATATTAAAAGCTCTATTGGCTCCCCTTAACCGTTTTTTCCATATTTTCCATATCGAGAGTATTGGATACTTAAAAGTATTGACTCAGCACATCACTACTGCTGTCCTCTCGACTGTGACGTCAGCAAAACAGCTGATTCTGTCAAATTCACTGAGAGCCGATTAGCGGTATTGCCATCGGCGCCACCTTCTGTATTCTCTCTACCGTGATTGCAGTCATACGACGATCTCGAAATAGTGCCGAAAGTCCCATTAAATCCCGAAATAGTCCCCTAAATCTCAAAAATCCGGATATAAATCCGGAGAATCCCGAAGTTGTCTCGAAAATCCAAAATATCCTCAAAAGTCGCAAAAATCCCGATATTAGCCACGAGAATCCTGAAAATTCCGAAGTAGTGTCGAAAATCCCGAAATAGACTCTAAAGACCCAAAAACCCTGATATTAGTTCCGAGAATCTCGAAAACTCCGAAGTAGTCTCGAAAACCTCGAAACAGGGGCGAAAGTCCCAATAAATCCCAAAATAGTCCCGCAAGTCTCAAAAATCCCGATATTAGTCACGACAATCCTGAAAACTCCGAAGTAGTGTCGAAAATCCTGAAATAGACCCTAAAGTCCCATGAATCCCAATATTAGTTCCGAGAAGCCTTAAAAGTCCCGAGAATTACGAAATAGTTTTAGAGAATCCCGAAATAGTCTTGAAAAGTCTGATTTAGTCCGGAGCATCAATAAAATCCCGAAATAGTTCCCAAATTGATATATGGTAAGTTTAGGTGAGGTGTGATGAGTTTGTATGTGGTGAGTTGATTTGAGGTGAGGTGAAGTGAGCTGTGGTAAAGTAAGTTGAGGTTAGTGTAAGATGAGGAGTTAATACATGCTAGTGCGAGAAGGCAAACCCCAGCACTCGGTGGTACTCTTTCTTATGTCCATTTCTTTTTTATATAACTACACCTTTGTTTTATAAAAAAAATACTGTATGTAGAATTTTCTAAATCTTGTCATCTTTATTTCCGTATTTTTTATTTAATAGGTTAATTATTTTTAATTGTTTCATAGAACAATTAAAAAAAGTAATTGCAATTAAATTAATTGAAATGTGCAATTACAAATTTAATTGCAATTAAAATTTTAATTGCAAATAATTTAACTGCAATGCACAATTAAAATTTTAATTGCAATTCATTTAATTGTAATGTGCAACTAAAAATTTAATTGCAATTGATTTAATTGCAATTACTTTTTTAATCAATTAACGAGATAATTGAAAAATTAATTGAATTACGCCCAACACTGATAGACGGAAGGCACGCTACGAGTGTTTTAGACGTACGCACACTCCGAGGCCCAAACATCGACTCGGACCACTATCTGGTTGCAGCCAAGATACGCACCCGCCTCTGTGCACAAAAAATGTGCGCCCAAATATGCAAGGAAAGCTTAACGTCGAAAAGCTGCAATCACAACAGACAGCTAGCGCTTTCGCTACTCGACTCTCACACCTGGGGCTCTATTCTGCAACTGTGAGTTTTCAAGTGTACACTGAAAATGGTGTGTACTCTCCATTTTGCGATTCAGGAAAAGTGAGAATTAGTTTTAGCTGTCAAAATTGTGTACACTTCCTAATTTTGCGATTCAGCATGTGTGAGAATGAGTTTTAACTGTCAAAATTGTGTACACTTCTCTTCCGAAAAACTCACTGAACTTTAGTCGGTGAGTTTTTGGTTGTGAGTTTTGCACTCGGTGTACACTACATTTTCTCACAATTACAGAATAGAGCTCCTGCTCTCAGAGAGCACTCTTCAACAAACCTACATATGCGAGCAGTGGAACCACATTTCCCGCTCATTAAGTACCGCCGCAGAAGAAGTAGCCGGATTTCAGCGAGCCCGAAACAACAACTGGTACGATGAGGAGTGTCAAGAAGCTGCAGAGAAAAAAGATGCCGCCTACAGGGCCACGCTGCGATCGGCTGCAACGCGAGCCATGTGGGACCGTTATAGGAAGCTAAAGAGGGAAGCGAAACATATTAGCCGCAATCAAAAGAGAGAGGCCGAAATACGTGAGTGTGAAGAGCTTTAAATGCTGGCCGACAGGAAAAACTCCCAAAAATTTTACCAGAGGGTAAGGCGATTTACGGAAGGTCTTAAGACCAAGGAACAACAATGGCGACCTTGTGACTGATGTCCGGAACGTACTTAAATTATAGAGGGAACACTTTTCCACTCTTCTGTATGGTAGCGGCGCTGAAAGCTATAGAGAAGACGAGCCCCCAGTCGATGATGATGCAGTCGACGTACCACCACCTGACTATGATGAGGTACGAATAACAATAGCGCGCTTGAAAAACAACAAATCTGCTGGAGCTAACAGCCTGCCAGCTGAGTTATTCAAGTACGGTGGCGAGGAGTTGATATGGTGCGTGTATCAACTCTTATGCAGAATATGGTCAGATCAACATATGTGCGACGAATGGAATTTAAGTGTGCTCTGCCCAATCCACAAGAAAGGCGACCCGGCCATTCGCGCCAACTACCGCGGGATCAGCATTCTAAGCATAGGTTCCAAAATCTTATCTAGCGTATTGTGTGAAAGACTGAAGCCCACCGTCAGTGAACTGATTGTGCCTTATCAGTGTGGCTTTAGACCTGACAAATCCACCATATACCAGGTGTTCACGATACGCCAGTTCTTGGAGAAGACCCGGGGAAAAGGATCGACACCACCTATTTGACGACTTTAAAGCCTAAACTCTAAAGCCGCTTTCCATAGCGGCTAAAAACAGATGCCTATACGCCACGTTGTCTGAGTTTGCCATCCCCTCGTACATGGCATGGCTGACATAGTGCAGCGAATTAAAATACAGCGGCTCCGCTGGATTCGTCATGTTGTTCGAATGGACTCCGACACTACAGCTCTGAACGTATTTCCCTCGGGACCCGCCGGTGGTAGCAGAGGAAGAGGGAGTGGGGCCCCACTGCGATGGAAGTACCAAGTGAAGAAGGGCTTCGCTTCACTTGGCATTTCCCATTGGCTTCAGTTGGCACAGAAGAGAAACGACTGGCGTGCTTTGTTGAACTCGGCCAAAATCACATAGGAGGTTACAGCGCCAAATAAGAAGAAGAAGAAGGTGGAAACACTGCATAGTTCCGTTTCCATTAGCTCACTGATTGTTAGCAAGAATTCTGTGATCTACCTACCCTCTTCAGCCTTGATCTCGAACTGTCCCAAATTTCAATCTTCCACAATGCGGATATTCCAAAGCGCCAGTCATCTAACCTTCCTTTCCTACCCGAATCCAAACCATATTGAAAAATAACAAAATTCATAAAATCATCTTTTCTATACCAATACATTTAAAACACTGCTATTATTACAAAAACACTGCACAATTCAAAATCCTACTTTGAATAAGCTTAAGGCCTGCGCTGCCAAAGCTTAAAATCAGCATTAATTTAGAATTTTAATTGTAAGCTATGTTTTGTAGAAATAAATAAATTCATATGAAAATGCTGTCAAAATATTCAGGTACTCAAATATTATGACAGTTGAGCGGGTACGACACTAAAGAGTTGGTGCACTTCCGCGGGGACACTGTATTAAGAAAATGGATTGTTTTATATTCTATCATTCTTGAGCAAACCATACCCCATTTGGAGGCGAAGTCAAATGGTAAATCCATCCATTTGAGTGGACGCAACAATTGCAGGTTTGTGGAGAAGCTTGGTAAATCACAAAACAAAATTGTGAGCTCAAAATATTTTCTCTATTTTTGCATGTATTAAGTTTGCTCTTAAAAATAGTTTTAATTAAAATAATAGAGAAATCTCTAGCTTACATCAAAACAAACTTACCCGCAAATTTCAACGAGTCTTGGTAGGTGCAAATCGGATTGCTGCGGCCCCAAATTACTATCTCCTCTGACGCTCCCAACACTCACTTTCTGTCGGCTGTCTTGAGGGCTAGCACGCACCCCCGCCGACAACTCTGAGCCACTACCGTTAATATGGTATTGATTTTCGATTTTTCTTCTCGCATAATTCGCTTTTGTGGTCTGGTAGTTGGCATCCCAGTAGTCTTCGGCATCATCGCAATGCGTGGATATATTGCGATAACCCCCATTGCACTTGGAACTGCCACCAATTGGGTTCACAATCGACACACTGGTATCACCGCCATCATCTGAGCCACAACTGAAAGGGGTAGTCGCCGGATGCAGGTAATCATTGTCATTGTTGGAAAATGGACCATCGCCACCACCACCGCTAATACCGCAAAAGTCATCCACCCCATTCGCACCTCCTCCAATTGAACCGCTATCCAAGTCAGGTTTCCGAGTATGCATTACGCGGTTACAATTTCCACCATTCGGTCCATTTCCACTGTTACCGCAGATACGTGAAGTCATTTCAATATTTTCTGTGCGCGCCGATGGCATTGAACTCCACAGTCGCATTTTACGCTTACGTCGGGGCGAACAAAAACAAATTGCGGCGAATGAAGAACCCACCACGAAAAGAAGAGCAATGAGGAAGCAAATCAGCACAATTTGTCCACCCGATGGCGCTTCAGTCGGGCGCCGTATAACAGCCAATGTGACAGATGCTTCCACTTTACCGGCTTTGTTCTCTGCCGCGCAAGTATAAATACCCGCATCCTGCATGTCAGCCGAGAGTATGGTTAGATTTGAAGCATTTCGCAACATGTTTACTATGTATATCTTGCGACCTTGTGTTGCTGCCATAGTAAGAGGACCCGCAGATGGAACACCATATTCCGTTAAGTTCGCTACTACACGATTTTTCACCATCCACCGGACCGATGGCTCTGGAACCCCCTCTACAAAGCAACTCATAGTAATATTGCGCCCTTCTACTCCGTGCGCCGTTGTGTTGGTAGCGATTATTTGTGGCACGCAGGCAAAGTCATCCAGATCAATTTTATCCCAAGTTTTTCCCGCGACTCGCGATGGTGCTAGACATGAGGGTGGTATGTCATATGGAATGTTCTCACGTAGCATCCAAGAGCGTAGTGGTAGCAGTGCGCAGGAACAATTCCATTGATTTCGTGCCAGTTCGATGCCGTGCAAATTTTTGAGCGATGTTATTGTATCTGAGCACACCTCACTCAATTTGTTCCCGTCTAACTTGAGCCACTCCAAGGAGGACTCAAGTCCCGCGAAGGCCATCACCTCAATCGTCGCCAATTTGCAGTCGGACAAATCTAGTCGCACTAGCTGAGACACAAATCCGAAGGCGTCGTCATGCACTATCGAAATGGGATTACCATTGAGTTTGATTTCGCGTAGCTCTGGTATAAATTGAAGTGCCTCAGTGGGAACGCTGCTAAGCAAATTATAGCTCAGATCCAGTTCGATCAGATTAATTAGATTTCGAAAGGCAAAACGCTCAATAGCACGTAACCGACATTTAGCCAGATATACTTTCTGGAGATTAAGTAAGTTCACTGATGCGAAGGTGTCGTGTGGTATGTTGGCGATATCGTTGACAGTTAAGTCTAGAACCTGCGTTCCAGCGTCCAGTGGCACCGGAATATGTGTGAGATTCGCATTAAGGCACAAAACTGATTCTTTGCCGCTCTTCCACTTGCACTCGCACATGCTAGGACAGTCGCCTACCGTAGGATGGGCTAAACTAACGCAGCAAAGCAGCCAAAGTAGTTGCGCAAGCGGGATCGTGAGTATGCTTTGCAGCGACGTTTGCAACGCGGATAGAGGCAGATGAAAACCGATTGACATTTGACGCGTGGGCAGCGGGTGCCCTTGTATTCGACGCACCTTTGCAGCTACCGTTATCTGACGCGAACTACTGTCGGAACAATCGTTGTAATTAGATTGGAAACATTTATGCGGTCGGACTTCAGTCGACGCGTAAGCTTCCTGATCATGATTGCATTGCAATATGGTTTGCTTGTGACGAGCCATTGCATTTCCGGTTACAGCAGGTTAAAATCTTTGCTTTGAAGTGGTGCCACATTGAGGTGACTCCGTAGCGATGCAGGATTGGGTGGCCGAAGCGGTGGTAGGGTTGTTGCCAAACGTGAAAAGGCATTCAATATATGTATTGACTTTTGCTCGCAGGTCTTTTGTCTCTAACATGTGATTTTTCCATTGCTTTGCTTAGTGGTCTGTCTGTGCCTAATATAAAAACAAAAAAGCGTAGACGTGGAACACTTCAACATTTCGAATAGCGGTCACGGTGATAAATGTTGACGGATCTGCAATAGAAGTAAGGAACACGTAGAAACAAATTTTATTTTTTCTGGGTTAAATTCAACAATTTTTATTGAGCTTGAGGCAATTTTTAATGAAAAACTATTGTGGAAACGCATCAATAATTTTGAAAAAAATGGTAGAAGCGATGGCTATTTCGGAAATCACCACATTTCCTCATCAGACTTCTTTCAGTGGGACTCGATCCAACGACCCCACCTGACTCAGCCAGTTGCCTACGCACCGTGCTAGGTTCGCCTTGTAAATTCTTGTTACTTTTTTCCACTTTTTCATTTGTGAAGCCAACTACAATCAAGCGCAGCTATTCCAGTGCCATTTAAACTTGATCATGTGGTTGTTGGTTTTGTTGGTTTTTGTTAATAATCCTATTTTTAGAATGTTTAACTTTTAGGTTTGCTAGTCCTTAAGTTACTTGTTTGAGCTTTAGGCCGTTTTTATTGAAACACTATTGTGGAAAAGCAACAATAATTGAGTAGTCCACTTGCAAACAGCGTTACAAACATCTATAACAACAAGTAAAATCCAAGTTGTATCTTTTTTATTATCTGAAAATTTGGACAAATAAGAGCCTAATAACATTAAAAAACAAAATCGCAGTATGATAGTTTTTGCAAATTTTATATATAAAAAATTAATATAGCGAGTTTTGAAACAGTAACCTTTACATAGCTAGCTTTTTATAGCTTTTCGCGTTCTCTCTTCCATGAAGATTGGTCTGCTTCTTTTTTACGACGTCTTCCACTAGACACCGCAACTACCACGTTTTCTTGCAGTGTTCTAAGTTCATCAGAAGGTGGAGACTTTTTAACTTGTGTAAATACGTACAATAAATATTGTAGCAACTTTTGAAAGTGTATATATACATACAGTAAGTATTATAGCGACTTTTGCTAGAGTGTCTAACATTTGATGCTATTTTTTTTTTCAGAATATATAAGGATTTTGCACTGTATTGTTAGTGGACATGAAACTACTTTAAATACTAGTATGTTAACCACCAAAAACTGGAAATCGAAAACATTTTATATAGAGCACTTTGCAAGTGGACTACTCAATTTTGAAAAAAGGGTAGAAGTGATAGCTATTTCGGAAATCACTACATTTCCTTATCAGACTTCTTCCAGTGGGTGAGTCAGCTAGGGTCGTTGGATCGAGTCCCACTGAAAGCAGTGTGATGAAGAAATGTGGTGATTTCCGAAATAGCTATCACTTCTACCATTTTTTCAAAATGATTGTTGCTTTTCCACAATAGTTTTTCATTAAAAACGGCCTCAAGCTCAATAAAATTTTTTGAATATAATTGTTATAAGGCCATAAAATAACAAAAAACTAATTTTCTGGGATAAGGTATTAATAATGCATGAGTTGGAAATAGGGGAACATATTAAAAAACAAGTAAGAAAGTCTAAGTTCGGGTGGAGCCGAACATTAAATACCTGGCGCAAGTATTAAATATACGTTTTTTCACCTTTCCGAAACCTACCGCTAGATGGTAAGCCGGGGTGTATCAATTTTGAGTAAATTAGCGTCCTTAAATTTCGAAATATTGCAGATTCAAGCATTTCTGAAATTTACCGTTATATGAAAAGCGGCCGCAATTTTAGTCCGATTTCAATAATTTTCAACGTTTTGCTTTTATGTGGCAAGCACAACAAAAATACCGAGTTTGGTACAAATTGATAGAACGGTTACCGATATACATATATGTGGTCATAAGTGGGCGGTGCCACGCCCATTTTCCAAAATTTAACCATAAACGTATTTCTTGGTAAAGAATTGTTGCGAGCATCAATTTTGAATAAGTTAGCTTTAATATTTACTGATTTATCGAAGATTTTGTATTTCTCTAAATTACCGTTATATGGGATGTGGGCGTGGTTATTGTCCGAGTTTTTAAATTTTCGGCCATTCAGTATGCTGTATCAAGGCCAACAACTGTGCCAAGTTTGGAAGAAATTGGAGCAGCGGTTACCAAGATATACACATGTAGCCATAAATGGGCGTGGCTACGCTCATTTTCCAAAAATTTATAATATTCTTAGTTTTCGTCTGAAAATTATTGTAAATGTAAATTTTGAGTGAATTATATTCAGTAGTTACAAAAATATCGCAGTTTTCGTATTTCTGGAAATTACCGTTATATGGGAAGTGGGCGTGGTTGCAGTCAGATTTCGCCCATTTTCAATACCAACCTACCTTGGATTAACAGAAACCTACGTACCAAATTTTGTTGAGATATCTCAATTTTTGCTCGAGTTATCGTGTACACGGGCGGACGGACAGACGGACGGACAGACAGACATGGCTTAATCGAATTCTCTATTCATTTTGAGCATTTATGTATACATTTGTCTATATCTATCTCGACTCGTTTTGGCTGTTACAAACAACCGTTATGTGAACAAAATTATTATACCCTTGTGCACAAGTGCGCTCGGGTATAAAAAGGCGTGAGTACTAGGTACTCATGAAATTTGATGTGTAAACATATGCGAACGGCAAATCATAAAAGTACGTTTACATATAAATATAATCTCAATCAAAGCTCGTTAGCTGTCAAATTGGTTGTGCTTGTTATTCACACAACTCGAGGAAAAGTTAAACTTCTTCTCTGTGCCACAGTGGTCACTTTTTTCTGCAACACATATTATGCCATTTAAATATATTTTAACTGAATATTTTATTAAAAATACACAGAGAAGATAATTTGCAAAAAACCCTACTGAAAAGGGAAAAAAAATTTTAAACAAAAAAATTTAATACAAAAACTTGAATTGTTTTAACCATAACCGAAAATTTGTTTGTGTAAATATTCATTTGTCAGTGCTGTCAATTGAAATTTCCTCAATTAAATAGGAAAAAAGCAAACAGAGTTGATCACAAATTGAGCCAGATTTCTATCAGTATCACATCGATGTTGAATTTGCGCAACTTTTCTTTTCCCAAATAATGTAAAATAATAAATGAAATCTCGATCGGAGATCACTGAAACGCAGCTAGCAACTGTATAAGCGAAAAGCAATATTGCCACTTTTTCTCATTAAAGCATGTTCGAATCGTGGAAATTTTGGAAGATCACAGGGTTGCTTTTAGCATTTAGATTCTTAATGCAAAAATGGAGTTGCATTTAGGTGAAGAATTTTGTATGGATAAATGAACATTTAGAGTAGCATTTAGAGCTAAATGCGCTTAATGTGCTTTTACGCGTAAGCAAAAACAGCCCATTAGGCGATTCAGTTACATACATACAAATGTAGGTTAGGTAAGAAATTAAACATTAATTTCACTTAATTTTATTCATTTTGCTGATTTAATTTTTTTATTCATTTTCATTTTTAAATCTTTTAATACATGAAATTATCGGGCGTTAAAATATCTTGGAAACACCGCATCAGTTATTGTTTTTGAGCTTATAATTTGAGCATTTCTATTTGTATATATTCCTAAATTTAGTTTTTCTTTTCGGAATATAATCTGTGGTTCATGTAAATGAGAGCGATTTTTGGAGAGTTGTGTAGAGATTGAAGTTGCAGGATTTTACCCGATGCTTTTTTGTTCCGTACGTTTTGCTGTTACACCCTTTTTACTCTCACTTCAGAGAGTGATTTTGCTGTTTGACCCTTTTCCAAGATTTTACACGAAAAGTATTGGATCAGAGCTATTATATCATCCATACATATGCATATTATATATACATATATTCATGTATGTTCATCAGTTATCAACGGTCCCAGTTAAAATGATTTCAGTACTTTTTTAAATTTTCGCCTTGCTTTTTTATCAAAATAGACTACTAAACCTATGCTTAAAACCATCTACGAATATCAAAACCAGGGCATGAATCACGTATGTCGACAATCGTCTGAACGATATCGTGTCGAGATAGTCTTGCTTCATAAAAATTAAAAATTTTTTGATCATTTGTGCGATATCGTCAACTCGATTCCAGGTTTGCTTCACGTAACAGTAACAGTAACACGTAACAGCAACACAAATGCATAAATCAGTGTTTTGACAACATCGTTTTGTCAGTATCGTTTGAACGACTATCGTTTCAAAGTTACGTGATTCATGCCCAGTTGCAACAAATGAGTCCATACATATGTATGTACATACATAGGTACAAAGCCGTATGCATGTGCGGATTTTATATAATCGGAAGTAATAATCATTTGTATCGCATTTCCTCTTTCTATGCATATGCCTAAATGTATGCAACCATTTACAAAAGCAAGCAAACACGGAGTGCTTCTAATGAAAATAAAAATTTTATGCTGAAATACACATTCTAAGCCCTTCAGAATTTTGTGCTAGGATATGTGTTACAGCTTCGCAAATTTTACCCCTACCGAAACCAAAGATGTATACACATCAATAAGTCCTTCCCTTCTAACGTTTTTGGCGCTCAATTGCTATAATCTTTTAGCCCTCTCAAACAACTTCACCTAGAGGTTTTGGTAGCCTTTTCCACTGCAAATGTAATCTAAACAGTGCAGCTGCAATAAGCTGTACATATTAGATATTTTAAAAATGTGATTAAGTGGTATAGCTAAAGTATGTACTTGCCATTAACAGGTCTATTCTGCGCGTTACCGAAGATTTTGTAACCGGGAAATTTTATTACCAAAAATGTTACCAGTTCTTGTCACCGCGATTCTAGCAACGTTGGTAATGCAGTTAAAATATTCAGCGATTCAACTATGAAGAATTGTGCAAATTCTGGCATTGCATATTTCACGGGGCAATACTTTGTTACCAGCTTATGAGAAGGTTACAAAATTTACCGGTTACAAGAGTACACAGAATGCGAAAAGGGTTTAAAAATTGACAGGAACTTTATTTACCGGTTACAAACTTTTTATTACCAGCGCAGAATAGACCTGTTAAAGACAGTTTTGGCCGTGCTGGTAGCAAGAAAAAAGTACGGCAACCATTCGTTTTTTCCACCCAAGAGCCTTTTACTTGTTGTGTAATGTTAGCGCGA